CTCTGACGGCATTTAGGTACTAAGTGCTCTGACGGCATTTACTTGCCGCCGATACAGACTACCTCTGACGGCAAATCAATATGTTCTGGCGGCAAATGCCGTCAGTTGCCGTCGTAAAATTCGATCCCTGCCGTAATGACTGATCCTATAGCCCCACGGCAACCGTACGCGGGCTATAGTTACTATAGAGCTCAAGGGGTCGTTGTCGTATCAGGTACTACAGATATGTACCGCGGTAGTTTTAAGTTGTTTAGTATTATGTTTATATTTTTACATGAGGTATGTTTAGGGTTAGGATTAGGGTTAGTGTTAGGGTTAGGGTACACTTCTGTAGTACAAGTCTGGTACACTTTGTGTATACATATATGTACCTCGGGTACATATCTGTAGTACCTGTTACGACAACGACCCCTTGAGCGTTACTAGAGCAGTGGGGGTGGCAGACTAGATCACTGGCAGCAGGAACCAGTCCGCTGCAGCTACAGCACACACGCGGCCATTGACTATGATATAGCTGCAGCGGACTGGTTCTTGCTGCCAGTGGACTAGATGACTTAACTGTACGTGTCATTTGCAACTCCCGTGCTTAAACTGATTAAAATTGTACTTCTACATGTAATTATTTCTTTTATAAGATGTACTCTGTATTTATGTATGTCTATGTCTAATAGTAATAGTAATATATATATACAGGGATCGAATTTTACGACGGCAACTGACGGCATTTGCCGCCGGAACATATTGATTTGCCGTCAGAGGTAGTCTGTATCGGCGGCAAGTAAATGCCGTCGTAGCACTTAGTACCTAAATGCCGTCAGATGTATAATTTAATGACGTGGATATTCCAAATATACACGCAAGTACAAACAGTCACCCTAACACTAACACTAACTCTAAACCGACTCGGCATATTAAATAATCTAACAATGTGTCTCACTGCTGCTCTGTGTACTTTTTGTATTTTATTACATGTAAATATTTTAAATTGACAAAAACTTTAATATTAATTGTACCATCTTGGTTTTATTCCTATTTGATACCATAATAAAGAAATAATTGTATATATGTTATCAATATCATTATCTTTTAGCCGTATAACTTATGATTTTTCACAGAAAATCGACGCGTTCAGTTTTCTAGACTTGCTGTCAGTGTTGCTACTTGCTGTCAGAGGGCACAACCTCTGACAGCAAGTAGCAGCCTTACTTGCTGTCAGAGACAAATTGTCAAATTCGATGCCTGATATAGTAGTTATATATATACTATATATAGCAGTTACATATATACTATATATAGTAGTTATATATCTATATATATAAAGTTGTTCAGCCGAATTTGTGTGTTCGCGCATAACTAGAGAACTCCGCAGCCTAGAGGAAAACTAAATATATTTTTAGAATCAGCACGCCTGGGAGGTGGTTATGGCTGAAACAAAATTTCAAAAAACTTAGAAATTTATAAAAATTCTATTCATCAATAGATGGCGTACAGATTAACATTATACATCACGTACGTGTGAATCCATGGTGTATAACCCTATCGGCCCAGTAGCCGAATGGATAAAGCATCGGACTCCTAAACCATTGATTCTGCGTTCGAATCCCACCTCGGGAAATCCTTTGTTTGTTTACTTTTGGACAGTTTAGTATGTACTTCTGCCGTATTCACCGTTCATTTCTAATTTTTTTTACTAAATTTAAACGTTTAGTAAAAATCCAGANTTTGGCACATGGATGTATTTGACCTACGAGTTGAGACAATTTGACATGGTTGATAACAATAGGTAGCCCAAGGCAGGGCAGAGTGAATTTTTATTTTAGCGGTGTGTACTGTGGGTATAAAAATTTCATTACCATGTTGAACTATAACACGGCGCCATTCAATACAAAACTGATGCGGCAAGGGACGAGCACGAAAGGTGGGATGCATTTTTGTATAATGTTTAGTATCTTGTTGATTCAGTAAAATGAGTCGCGATATGTTAGGTCTTGTAACTATTTTGCCTGTTTTGGCGCTAAAATAGAGACATGATAGCGAAATCGCATGCAATTAGAGCTTTGGTGGCTAATTACTTTGGAAATTCAATTAAAAAAAGTATTAAATTTGGTACTCAGGGAATATGTCTGATTTACCATTTGGAGGTTTAGTTTTGCAAACTTTCACCCAAAGCTAATTTTCAAGCAAGTTTGTCGTTTACATTTTTTGGCCTATTTTAATGGCGCCAAATAAGGCATTTATTCGAAATGTTCAAAAACTCGTTTCCATAACCATAGGCATAAATAAAATAAAGCAAACATGTTTGGTTTACTATAAATTCAACTTCTTATCAGTCATCCTTTTGCTTCAGAATAGGGACACACTCACACAACAAATAAACGATTGGTAAACGATAGCTGTAGGATTTTCTGACAGGGGGTCCGATTTTTTAAGAGGGGTCAAATTTCAGTGACCTTTTGACCTCTGCTGACCCTACTAACATAACAGATTTGCATATTGATGGATATTAAAGTGTTTATGAAGGACAAAAACTACCAAACATTTTTGGAGGCGGTCATTTGCTCAGATGGTATGTCCATTCCCCAGCCGCCGCATCTTGGCAAAATATTCAATTTTATATTGTCCCCTACCCCCCCCCATAATTAGGCATCTGTCGCTCCACCGACGACGCTGCCATATACCAAGTGGCAAATTGTCTACGATTAAAGCTGTGAGTCTCGGCTTGCTTTCATGGTTTTTTTTCATCTATGGACAGTAGGCCTTTCAAAACAATACTAGTGAGGATTGCCACCCAGGTGGTACCAATGAATTTGGGGGTCTGGCTCATGGCACTGCTAGGCGGCCTTACTGCCCTTGCGCGTGGGCATTTTCGTGGCTTTTTACGCGCGTTGTCATTGTTTTTCGATTTACACATTTTCCTCTTGCAGGAATGGCAGTGGCTACGGGTTACGGTTAGCGGTAGTCTTAATTGGTTTGCGATTACGGGTACGGAGAGTCCATTCGTTTTATTATTACGAGCACACAAGATGGCGGCGGGAATTGCGCCAGATTTCGAAATAACGCCTTGGGAAATTGAAAATTCACGATTTGAAGGTTTAGATGATGCTGATCCTAACACCTAAACCGTAACCCTAACCCAACGCTAACGCAAATAAAGGGGCTTCGAACGGGAACGTGATCAGTGACCGGACTCCAGCCACTGGTTGGTCGTCTGCAGGGTAAGCTAATCCACAAACTGGACACATTCCTCTGCGATTCCTCCCTTACACGTTCAAATAGTATGAACAAGTCTTCCCTTTCATATAATATGTATTGATATTGTAGCGGTTCTCTTTGGCTCTTGTCAACTGGCCCGTGACCGTGTTTTTTACTGTATTTGTCCTGCCTAGTAAAGTTATTTGCTTTTGTTAGGTTAATTGTTGTTGGTGTCACCGGGCTGCGCGGGTAAACTTCGCCCTACAAATTGATCGATAAGCTATATGATTCTTGTGCCGTGGGTGTCAATACAGGTCGAAGTCAAATGGTAGAGGGGTAGAAACATTTAGTTATTTGGTTAAGCCGTAAGGAGTATTATCTTCTAATTTTAACATATAAATGAATAAACAAGCGTACAGGGGACTCACTATTTACAACGCAGTTCCAGCTCTATCGTTCTAATTCATGCGGTAGTTTAACTTATATTGGTTTATCTATACTTTACAACTCCATAAGCGAAATCCCAATCAGACTTAACTGTCTATAGAATCTTCCCTATCGAACTATCTCTCGAACTCTTTCTCCATTTAGCTCTCTGCTCGGGGAACCCCTGATTTACGCTTATTTATCTATTTATTGCTCCAATGGTAAAGTGTACACACGAATCAGCTTGTGTATTCGTTTCTAGCTTGTGAACGGTTGACGTCACAAACCAAGTTCAAAAAAGACGATTGGACGTATATGGATGGACAGGCGAACCTATGGACGAGCAGTGGCACGAAACCTCACAATTAATATTCTGCTTTATCAGGTCCATGTTACGTGTGGTACTTACATTTGCGTCCAGGGCAGAGATACACTAATAGGTGGAGGGGGAGGAGTTGGTTAAAGATGGGCTTGCACATTGATGGACCTGTGCAGTTTAGCATGGTTGAAATAAAGTGTTATTCAGGACCTTACTATTCATGACCTCTTGTGTTGCTCAATCTCACTTATTACAGGGAGTTCTAGCATAAGGCTACTATTACATGGTGGCAGCGCGGATCGAACACCGTCTGTTGGATGATTGACAGGACATGCACGAGAGTGCAGGGCCAGTGGCACACACCGCAGTATTCGCCGCGCCATACATAATGGCATGTGTGCCTGTGTGGTAAATGTACGACTGTGCGTCGGACTGCACCGTATGCTGAAGTGGCGAATGGCGATCGACTGGACAAAGTCAAGGAAACTGTAATATGAATTGAAATCTTGAGTGACTCGGGTTTGCACCAGTGACAAGGAAGCAATGTGTCGGAAACTTCGGGACATTGTGAGCTTGAGTGTGATAAATATTTGTTATCAACACCATCGAGCTCGAGCTTCGGCGAACCATCAAGCGTTGCCTAGATAGCTGCATGCATGCAGCCATTACCCCGCGGACGGATACTATCAAGGTTTCGTGGGACTTTCGGTGACACACATCTGGCTATCATAGCAGATAACTTGCATGTAGTAAATTACACATGCACATTCGACGCTGAGTGCCGTGCGGTGTTACACGGGACAGTTTTCACAACTACACATACGGGACACATACCCGCAGTGTGGAGTCAACAAGGCTGAGCATCAACCAGTGATGGAACACTAACACTAACAGTGCCAGTTTCACAGGGAGGTCTGACTCGTAGTAGTTTTGGTGATCAGAGCGGAACACAGGCCATCAGCATCGAAGATTGCTAACAGAATTTGGTGCACCTGAGCGGAGAATTCGAGACACTCTTCGTCAGCACGGGCTTACAAGCAGCTTGAGACTATAGCAGACAAGCAGCATTGACATTGTACGTGATCATCGCGAACTGTATGTTACAGACTAGCCAGTCGACGTAGACAGCAGATGCAGTCAAGCCAAGTCGAAGACAAGCTAAGTCCAAAAATAAAGGGCTGATCGAACATTGTCATTTATGAAAAGTTATGTGCGTGTACACATACTGCATGTATCACGCAGATCTTGTAGTTTAGTGCATTTGTTATCAATGTCAAAATAGCGAATGAAGCTACGTATTGTTACCGAGAGTATTTTTGGTCGAAATAGGTGGTATGTATACATATCATAAAGCGTATAAATTGTGGAAGCCAGATATTCGGAAATATTTGGTTGGCATTAGCATAGTGCAACCCATGAAATAGTGTGTATAAGCCACACCAATATTTTCCTCCAGAGATAACGTGCCTGATTAGTGATTACCACTGAAGATATTGGTATATTATAACGTTGGTCATATCTGTTTACATTTATGCGTACATCATAATTTTGCCAACGGGATTACCTTGCTCATAGCAAATGAGAGGATGCCATGGTTATTTGTAAGTCGGAATTCATACATGTTTATGGCTGTATTCACTGCCCGTAATTATTGTATTGGTAATCATATGTATACATTCAGTTCACGGTCATATTACTGTATGTAACAAGTATACATGTGCTGTAAAGGTGATTGAGTTCATACCACTCGCTTATATATTGATTCCATTACCAAGATTGCAATTATAGTGAATACGGTGCTATAGTGTTCACCTACAGTTGTATGTAACAACAAATTGTCAATCTATACTGAGGATACACATAGCAACATGGCTAGTGGATCACTGCCTACACCTCGGATGGACTGGTCCAGCCCTGACCGGTCACAGGCCCTAAATGAATTTAGACAGGTGGCCAATATGTGGTTTACCATTAAGAGAATAGCATCTGCCGACCAGCACACATACATCATACTATGGTCTGGTAAGGAGGGACTACGCATGTTCAACACCTGGAATCTGACTGAGGATGAACTAAACAGCCCTGTAAACATATGGGATGCATTTTCACAGCAGCTGGTCCCGCGAGATAACTTCAGAATTCATAGGCTGGAATTCCAAAGGTTTAAACAGGGTGTATCAGAGTCAATTGATGATTTCGTCCTCCGATGCAGGACCAAGGCAGCACAGTGTAACTTTACAACTGAGGACATAATTGAAGAGCGAATAATTGAAGTTCTTATCGCAGGGGTCAGCCACCCAGAGGTACAGAAGACACTGCTAAGCAAGGATGCAAAGTTAACTCTTAAAGGTGCCATCACAGAGGCAAGAGCACATGAAGCAAGCATCGTGCACATGAGTCAGCTACAGGGCCTAGACTCTGCATCAGTTCATGCAATGCGAATGGAGAAACCCTGTGGGAACTGTGGTGGACACCACCAACCGAGGAAATGTCCAGCATTCAATGCCGTATGCCACAAGTGCCAGATGACAGGCCACTGGGGGAAATGTTGCAGATCATCTGCGTCAACACACCCTACTTACAGAGGCAAAGGTGGCAGGGGACGCGAAAGGTACCAAGGTGGCAGAGGTCAATTTAGTTACCATGGTGATAGAGGCAGAGGTCAATTTAGTTACCATGGTGATAGAGGCAGAGGTCAATTTAGTTACCATGGTGATAGAGACAGAGGTCAAGTTAGTTACCGCGGTTATGGAGGCAGAGATCAGAACCCCAATCCATTATCATCACAAAAGAACGTCCACCCAATAGACTGCCAGCAGCAGGACAGTCTGACCACTGATATGGAGGCTATGTCACTTGACGCAATTTTTATCGGTGACGTACGCACAGATGGTACTCCCCAGGCGGACCAAAGAGATGAGATATTTGCTAACTTGAGCATTACATTGAGGAATAAACCTGGCAACCACACGCTGAAAGTAAAGGTTGACACGGGTGCCCAAGGAAACGTGCTACCATTACGTACATTCAGAAGAGCATTCCCTGAGCTACTTGACACCAAAGGATACCCAAGGGATGGGACGGTTCAACAGGAACCAACCAAGCTTTATGCATACAATGGCGCTGCTATGCACCAATATGGATGTGTTAAAGTTCGCTGTCAATACAAGGATGGGAAATGGCTCTCAACCAGATTCTACGTGGTGGACACACCAGGACCTGTGATACTAGGGTTACAGAGCGCAGTCAAAATGCGTCTGGTGGAAATCAACTGCGAGATACGCAAGGACACTACAGGACCCATTGGGCATACTCCGACCCTTGAGATCCGCAGCAAAAGTGATCTCCAAAATCAGTACCCTGACCAATTCCGAGGCATAGGACAATTTCCTGGGGAGTATGACATTGCGCTTGAACTTGATGTTGTACCTGTTGTACATCCGGCAAGGAAGTTTCCGATACATCTCAAAGAAGAACTCCGGGAAGAGCTGGATAGGATGGAGTCCATGGAAGTCATTGAAAAAGTCAGTAAGCCGACAGACTGGGTCTCGTCGCTAGCGATCAGCAGGAAGAGTAATGGGAAGTTGAGAGTTTGCCTGGATCCCAAAGACCTCAACAAAGCGTGTAAAAGAACGTATCACAAGGCCCCAACCTTGGAAGAAACCACACACAAGCTACATGGTGCCCGTGTATTTTCCAAGTTAGACGCGAGGCATGGGTATTGGAGCATCCAGCTCACTGACAGAGCCAGTGACTTGACGACGTTCAACTCCCCGTTTGGAAGGTACAGATTCAGAAGGCTACCATTTGGTCTCAAGGTGGCCCAAGACATCTTTCAAGAGAAGATGGATCTCATCCTCTCAAGTTGCCCTGGAACACTCAACATCGCAGATGACATCATCGTGTATGGGCATGACGGTGAGGAACATGACAAGAATCTGCACGTCTTGATGACCACTGCTACAAAGTTTGGACTGGTCTTCAACCTGGACAAATGTGATATCAAGGTGGACGAAGTGGCGTTCTTCGGATGCATTTATGGCAAAGAGGGCGTCCGTCCAGATCCCAAGAAGGTGGAAGACATTCACAGCCTTCCACCGCCAAGCTGTGTAAGAGACCTGCAACGTTTCCTGGGCATGATACAGTATATGTCGCCCTTCATACCAAACCTTGCGACGCATACAGATGCACTTCGCAGCCTGACCAAAAAAGACAATGAATGGCAGTGGACAGCATCTCACCAGCAGTCGTTTGATGTGGTGAAATCCCTCATCACATCCATGTGCACGCTAACCTACTTTGATCCTACCAAACAGTCAACGGTACAAGTTGATGCATCATCACGAGGTCTTGGTGCAGTGCTCCTGCAAGATGACAGACCTGTTGCATTCGCAAGTAAAGCCTTGACTGAAACTGAGCAGAGATACGCGAACATAGAACGGGAGATGCTTGCTGTGGTTTTCGGCTGTACCCGTTTCCATACTTACCTCTATGGATCAACGTTCATTGTAGAATCTGACCACAAACCCCTTGAGAGTATCCACAAAAAGAACCTGGCAAATGCACCCCCAAGACTACAGAGGATGCTGTTGCGGTTACAACCATACGACTTCCAATTGGTCTACAAACCGGGCTCTCAAATCGGCCTTGCGGACGGACTGTCACGCATAAACCCCCAGAAGCAGCCGACCATCGAACTCAACAGCACTATCCACACAATCAATGTGGCGCCAAACCGTCTTGTAGAGCTACAACGCAGGACAGATGAAAGCAAGGAGCTGAAAGCCCTGAAGGAGTTGACAGTAAATGGATGGCCAGATGAGGCTAGTCTTGTACCCAAGGAACTACGCAAGCACTGGTCGGCAAAAGACTCATTCTCCGTCGAAGATGGTGTACTGCTGAAGGGCTGTAGGATTATCATACCAGAAGGCATGCAGCAGGAAGTGCTCAAGAAACTTCATGAAGGTCACCAGGGCGTGACGAAAACACAACTCCGTGCCAAGTCCTGTGTGTACTGGGACGGAATCAGCAAAGACATCGAGCACATGGTTGGATCCTGCACATCATGCAGAGAACACCAGAGAGCCCAGCAAAGGGAGCCCCTACTTCAACATGACCTTCCCTCGAGGCCCTGGGAAACAGTGGGAACCGACCTGTTTCATCTGTATGGAGATGAATACCTGATCATTACAGACTACCACTCAAAGTTTCCCTTCATCAGGAAGGTCAGAGGGAGATGCACAAGCGGATCAGTTGTCCAAATCACCAAAGACATATTCAGTGAGCAAGGGATACCCCTGAAGGTGATCAGTGATAATGGACCCCAGTTTGCCAGCCAAGAGTACAAAGCCTTTGCACAGGAGTGGGGATTTCAACACGTCACTTCCAGTCCTCACTATCCTCAAAGTAACGGACTTGCTGAGCGTGCCATACAGACCGTGAAGAGGACATTGACAAAGGTGAAGGAATCCAACGGTGACCTACACCTCGCATTGCTGAGCCTTCGAACCACTCCTGTGGACACAGACCTGCCATCGCCAGCTGAGCTTCTACAAGGCAGAAAGATGAGAAACACCTTGCCAGACAAGTTGAGCAGTTTGTCGGCCGCCCAGACAGACACGTACGAGAAGCTGATTGCAAGGCAGAACAAACAGAAAGAAAACTATGACTGCAGAGGTGTGAAGGAACTTCCTCCACTGCGAACAGGAGAGAAGGTGCTCACATATGAACACAATACAGGAGTGTGGAGCCCAGCAACGGTTGTGGAAGCATGCAGAGAACAACGATCCTACCTCATTCAGACTCCTAATGGGGGCATAAGAAGACGCAACCGCAGAGACGTAAGAACTTTGGGTTGTCCACCTCAGCATGTGAACTCTGAGGGGGACCACAGGCTACCCAAGGCGCCACCACTCCCTCCAGATCGGGCACAAGATCGGCAGAAAACACGTGGTGATGCATGCTACACAAGATCAGGGCGCAGAATTGTAAAGCCCAATCGCCTTATTGAGCAATAGGCATCTGTGTCATACACATGACTCACTTGTGTACATTGCTTTGGAGTTACTGTACAATATATTACAGTTATTAAAAGAAAATAATAACACACATGTAATAGCATACTAGACTTTGTAAAGTGAGAAAGCTTGTATATGTGAAACACAGGAATTGAAGTTATGTACATCTTTATCGTAATTCATGCAAGTGTAAACAATTGTTATATATGAGGTTTTGCGTTGTGTTACGAATTCGTAAAGCAACAGTTAAAAGTAAGCATTCACAGAGCTTGCGGCTCACACAGCAACGCAAGGAATGAAGCCATTCAAAAGTTGGAGTTGTGTTTGTTTGATTGATGTTTGTTGAAGTCACACACAAAAAAGTTGTTGGTTCTGAGATGTGGTTATAAGAGGATTTATTATTTAGGTACAATTGTCATACGCTTTAAAAGTTTAAAACGTTTATCATACTGTTTTCATCATGCTCAACTTTTCATTGTGGGGAAGGGGGATCGATGATTACACTGTGGTACTACTTTGCGCGTCAGCGCAAAGTACACTAATAGGTGGAGTGGGAGTTGGTAAAGATGGCTGCACATGATGGACCTGTCAGTTAGCATGGTTGAATAAAGTGTTATTTTCAGACGCTTACTATCATGTAACCTACTTGGTGTCTCAATTCTCAATATACAGGAGTTAGCATAAGGCTACTATTACAGAGATCATCGATGACAGAGGTAGAGTGAGCGGACACCGATAGTGTTTAAAAGAGTGTCGGAGAAGGAGAAGGTCCGAGAGTGAGGCGAGCTAGAGCAGATCGAGTAGCGGCGAGAGTGTCACGCACGAGATGCGAGTCGAGTAAAGGAGTGAAGTATAAAATATGGAGAGAGGAGAAAGTATGTAGTTACAAGGCTAGGGCTTTCCTAATATAAACACAGGTGTACAGATAAACAATTATTTACAAATTCCTATGTGCTGAGATACCCCCTAACCATAGTAAATCATATTCATCACACAAATTATAGCTCCTCTGGTAAGATATTGGCGCATGCGCCAACACACTAACGTTGCCAGATTATGTACTGGCTGTATAGCGCAGTGGTCACGCTTACATGCAAGGTATTCTCCTATTTATTAAGGGATGTTACTGATAGAATGTTATCATATAAATCCACGCTAGATGACTCCTCTTTAATTATAATACATAATCATTGAAAATATTATTCATCTCGGAGATATGACGCATGCCGCGAGCACCGTTTCAGGCGTGTAAGACCGATTAAGGAAAAACTGCTTAATATAGCTTGTTGTGGGACAGAGGGTAAGAGACTTAGAAAAGCGGCAGGGAGACATAGCTGAGGGGCAGTAGAAGAAGAATTAGGCTGAACGAGGGACAGGGCGACAATGGGAAATACGGGAGGGGGTGAAGTAGCCGTTTTCCACCCTACAGGTTAGGGCGCTCTCCTAATTATAAAACAAAGTGTACTGATAACAATTAGTTACAAAAGTTTATGCTGAGATACCCCCTCACCATATTAAATGCATATTCATCACAAAATATGACTCTTCTGTAAGATATCGCGCATGGTCAACACACTAACGTACGCAACGATTATGTAGCTGGCTAGTGGTCACCTACATGCAATGTCTTCTCCTATTTATTAAGGGATGTCTACTGATACAATGTTATCATATAAATCCATGCTAGGATGACTCCTGCTTCATTTAAATGCATAATCATTGCAAAATATGATTCTTCTCGGAAAATATTGCGCCGCGCGAGCACCGTTTCAGGCGTGTAGTACCGACTAAATGCATGATATAGCTTGCTTGTGGAGAGTGAGGTAAAAGAGACTGATGGAAAAGGCGCAGGAAGATAGGCTGAGGCGCGGTAGAAGAAGAATTAGGCTGAGCGAGGGACATGGGAGACAATGGAAATACGGGAGAGGGTGAAGCTAGCAGTTTTGCCCCTACAGGCCAGGCGCTCTTCTAATATAAACAGCAAGTGTTCTGATAACAATTAATTGTAAACATATAGGCCTGAGATACCCCTAACGCATATTAATGATGCATAGTCATCACAAAATATAACTCGCTAGTAAGATATTGCGCATGCGTCAAACACACTAACGTAGCCAGATTATGTACTGGCTGGTATATGCAGTGGTCACCATTACATGCAAGTTTTTTGTTTTCTTCCTATTTATTAAGGAATGTCTACCGATAGAATGTTATCATATAAATCCATGCTAGGATGACTCCTATTCATTTTAATGCGCATAATCATTGCAAAATATGATTCTTCTCAGGAGATATTGCGCATGCGCGAGCGACCGTTTTCATGGGCGTGTAGTACCGATCAAGGAAACTACATAATATAGCTTGGCTGTGGAGGAAGGGTAGCGAGACTTGCGGAAAAAGCGGCAAGGAAAGATAGCTGAGGGGCGGTAGAAGAAAAATTAGGCTGAGCGAAGGACAAGGGGAGCAATGGAAATACGGAGGGGTGAAGTAGCAGTTTTGCACACCTGGCAGGCCTAGGGCGTCTCCTAATTATAAACACAGGTGGACTGATAAACTGTAGTTACAAAAATGCTATGGCTGAGATACCCCCTAACCATATTAAATATACTATTCATCACAAAAATATGACTTCTTCTGGTAAGATATTGCGCATGCGTCAACACACTAAACGTATAGCCAGATTATGTACTGGCTTAGTATAGTGCAGTGGTCACCTTACCGTGCAAGGAATTCATCCTATTTATTTAAGGAATGTCTACTGATAGAATGTTATCATAATAATCCACGCTAGAATACTCCTCTTTATTTTTAATACATAATCATTGCAAAATATTCTTCTTCTCGGCAGATATTGCGCATGAGCGAGCACCGTTTAGGCGTGTAGTACCGACTAAAAAAAACGGCATAATATAGCTTGCTGTGAGAAGAGAGGGGTAAGACGACTGAGGAAAAGCGGCAGGGAAGATAGCTGAGGGCGGTAGAAGAAGAATTAGGCTGAGCGAGAGGCATGGGAGACAATGGGAATACACGGAGGGGGTGAAGTAGCAGTTTTGCCCCCTACAGGCTAGGGCGCTCTTCTAATTATAAACACAGGTGTTCTGATAACAATTCATATATAAAAATCTGTATGGCTGAGATACCCCCTAACCATAATTAAATGCATAGTCATCATAAAATATAACTCAGCTAGTAATGCGCATGCGTCACACACCTAACGTAGCCAGATATGTACTGGCTGGTATATGCATGTGGTCACCCTTACATGCAAGGTTTTGTTTTCTTCCTATTTATTAAGGAATGTCTACCATAGAATGTTATACTAATAAATCCATGCTAGGATGACTCCTATTCATTTAAATGCATAATCATTGCAAAATATGATTCTTCTGCGGGAGATATTGCGCATATGCGCGAGCACCGTTTCATGCGTTGTAGTACGCATTAAGGAAAACTGCATAATATAGGCTTGCGCGTGGGAGAGACGGGTAAGATACTGAGGAAAAGCGGCAGGAACGATAGCCGAGGGGCGGTAGAAGAAGAATTAGGCTGAGCGATGGACAGCGGCGACAATGGAAATACGGAGGGGTGAAGTAGCATTTTTGAACCCTGCAGGCTAGGGCGCTCTCTAATTATAAAACAGGTGTTCTGATAACAGAATTTAATTACAAAAAATTATGCTGAGATACCCCTAACCATATTAAATGCATAATCATCACAAAATATAACCTCGTCTGGTAAGATATTGCCGCATGCGTCAACACACTACGTAGCCAGATTATGTACTGGCTAGTATAGGCAATGGTCAGCTTACATGCAATGTTTTCTTCCTATTTATTAAGGGATGTCTACTGATACAAGTTATCATATAAATCCACGCTAGGATAACTCCTCTTCATTTTTAATACATAATTATTGCAAAATATTCTTCTTCTCGGAGATATTGCGCATGCGCGAGCACCGTTTCAGGCGTGTAAGTATACCGACTAAAGAAACGGCATAATATAGCTTTGCTGTGGGAGAGAGGGGTAAGGCCTGAGGAAAAGCGGCAGGAAGATAGCTGAGGGGCGGTAGAAGAAGATTAGGCTGAGCGAAGGACAGGGGAGACAATGGAAATACGGGAGGGGTGAAGTAGCAGTTTTGCACCCTGCGCGGCTAGGGCGCTCTCCTAATTATAAACAACAGGTGACTGATAAGCTGTAGTACAAAAATCTATGCTGAGATACCCCCTAACCATATTAAATATATATTCATCACAAATATGACTCTTCTGGTAAGATATTGCGCATGCGTCAACACACTAACGTATATCCAGATTATGTACTGGCTAGTATAATGCAGTGGTCACCTTACCTGCATAGGTATTCATCCTATTTATTAAGGAATGTCTACTGATAGAAATGTTATCATATAAATCCACCGCTAGGAACTACTCCTCGCTTCATTTTTAATACATAATCATTGCAAAATATTCTTCTTCTCGGAATATTGCGCATGAGCGAGCACCGTTTCAGGCCGTGTAGTACCGACTAAAAGAAAACGGCATAATATAGCTTCTGTGGAAGAGAGGGGTAAGAGACTGAGGAAAAGCGGGCAGGGAAGATAGCTGAGGGGCGGTAGAGAAGTAAGCATTAGGCGTGAGCGAGAGGCATGGGAGAGCAATGGGAAAACGGGAGGGGGTGAAGTAGCAGTTTTGCCGCCTAACGGCTAGGGCGCTCTTCTAATTATAAACACAGGTGTTCTGAATAACAATTAATTATAAAAATCTATGCTGAGATACCNCTATAGCTGGTACTGTGACAACGAAACAGGGATGCGATAGCTGGTACTGTGACAAGGAAGCAGGGATGCTATAGCTGGTACTGTGACAAGGAAGCAGGGATGCTATAGCTGGTACTGTGACAAGGAAGCAGGGATGCGATAGCTGGTACTGTGACAACGAAGCAGGGATTCGATAGCTGGTACTGTGACAACGAAGCAGGGAT